AACATGTTGATGGAGGATGATGAGGAACTGAAGCCGATCAAACTCGATAAAAAAAACTGCTGCTACAATAGCAAACAATAACGGCTCCATTAAATATGTAATTAGCTGAAAACATACATTCTTAAACCAATTTTAAAAAATCATAAAACTACATTTTATTTACTCAAATAAACAACTTTAAATTCATAAACAAACAGTGGAAGTTAATATAACGAGTGAATCTGGCAGCAGATTAATTCATGTTACTCTTTTCTGATCCACAACTTATTTATCCAGAACAAACATGAACAACAGATTATAAATAAGAACATTTAGTTTCTGGGAAGTATGGGGTTAAAATGTTGACAACAATGTGCAAATAATTATACTAATAACTTAGAAGATTCTCCATTAGTTTTACCTACAGTTAACTTCCTGATTGAGTTGTGATGCTTTTGTTTTGAAGGGACAATTTTTTGTTTACCTGTCAGTGTAAAAGCAGCTTAATGACAATCAAAAAGACAAAAGTTAAATTTTAATGGAGCTTATAAGATTGTAGTCACCTGGATGAAGACAAAAGGTTTATTAATAATGTAAATATGTATTTGTTTTAAATATTGTACTTTAATTATGCATGATATTAATAAAACTAAAGTTAATTTCCATTGTACATATTATTTTAAGTTACATTAAAATTCATCAGTAAAGTTTGTTATAACTAATTTGGCTGGACTTGATTACAAAACCTGAGTTTCTTTATGACCCATTTCTCTAATCCCTAAAAACTGCAACGGTCTATTAAAGGCCTTTATGTCAAACTTAGAACAGAGAAACCCAAAGAACAGGAAGAAATCCACACTGATGCTAAATTGATAATATATTCTAACATCATGATGTTACAACAATATTAGACTGAAAACCAAAATTAATTAATGCAGCGTAATAAAAAAGACAAAAGAAAACAAAACTCATCAGTTTTTCATCGCTGACTGAACAGATGAAGCTCCAGGATTAATCCAGATGTTAGCCTGGCCTGGAGCAGCTAGCTTCACAGAATAAATCGCCATGGCAACGTAGCGTTTCCTCTGTTGTGAAACTGAATCGAGGTTTAATTAAACCAGAATATCCGGAAAATTATGGCTTAATCCGCGATCCTGGTTTTGTGAAAAAGTCCTCTGGATATTTATAATTATTGAAACATAAAGTTTTAACCAGAGTTATAAAAGTTTTGGGCTTTAAATTTAGTTTAGTTTGTTTAATTCAGTTTTAATTTGTTTCTAAAGTGTTTGCTAGTTAATAGATTTGTTTGTATTTTTTATACTTTTGGTGAATTTTTCAGTGCAGAATTCAAAAAGGTGAAAATATTATATTCTGATGATGCAAACATGAACTGGGTAATGAAAGCTCAGCAGAAAATAGCAGGAAATGAAAATATTAGATTTAAAATCATCAGTAACAGTTTGATTGCATCATTTCCTCACTGAGTCGTTTCCAGCAGCAGATAGAAAGACCAGAGCTGCACAAACATCAGAAACTGGATCCAAATGAAGCAACATGCAGCCTGGAAACGGCTGAACTGAAACATGGTTCATATTTCAGGATGAAAATGAATCAGAGAAAAATGATCAACTTTAAAAACTGAACCAAGTTCAGATCAAAACTCCATGAAGCCTCGAAATGGAGCCGAGTTACAATTTCATCTTCATCCATCCAAACAGAAAAACATCAGATACAAAATGACAGACAGGAGGAAATAAACAGGATGGAAACCATTCAGGTCAAAGGTCATCATGATCCAGTCAGAGTCTCTTTAGACTCAAACTGCTGCAGCTTCTGAGGATCAGCAGGAAACAGAGACGATTCTCTAGTTTCAAAAGATGATGGCCACCACCTGCAGAGAGAAGAAAGAATCAGAGATCAGATCAGTTAGTTTCCAGCTTCTCTCCAGCAGCAGCAGTCAGTGA